TGAGCCCATCTATCTGGATGGCTTGTCTGCAGTTAGTAAATTTATATTCCCGCTACTCCCATCCTCCATCAGTCGTCACAGTGTGGCTGAGCCAAGGCTGTCAGGCGCTACGGCCGTATCTTATTGAAACCCAGATGCAGGCAGGACCTTGGTTACCTCTCTTCCTCCTTTCCTCTTTTGTGCATTTCTCCTAATAATATATATAACAATATTATAACAAACCTAACTGCGGCTCTTTCATCCCTCCAGCAAATGCCAGTCGATAAACCAAGTTTTTTTTTACCTACACAGAGAGGTTAAAGGTTATGGCTTTTTGAATAAACACCAGACACAAAAAAACAATTATCAATAATTACTGTATCTTGGTCAAATGTAAAACTGCATAAGAAAGTGGCTGTATTTTTGTACATTACATGAAATTTATTCAGAATAAACAGGAACTAAAGCTGTTAAAAAGTTTGCTCGCTTTAAATTAAGCAGTACAGATTGTTACCACGACGATAGGCGCCTTAAAAGCCTCCCCTTGCAAAACATCAGACAAGTCACCCACCCTTTGACCTCAGTGCTGCAGACAACGCTGGTCTCTAGAGTGCAGCTGAGTGATCATAATTTCAATCATTACCTGCTGCGCGTTTTCTCTTCTTCTCTTGGTCGGTTAAATTAGCCTGACAATTAGGGTAACTGTGGTGAAGGAATTTAGAACAGCTTCTTAAATCCACCCATGAGCACCTGACTCACTAGTAAACGAACACCAAACCCGACGCCTACACACACTGAGAACTTGCCTCCAACTCAGTGCATCGTAGTGCTAATAATCGGATTAAGTGGCGTGTTTTAGGTGGGTTGGAGGCATCTCTATTAGCACTGATTTGGCGTGACCTATCTGCCACAGTAACCCCACTGCCGGCTCTTTAATCTCTAGAGGCTTCCCCCACCCGAACTGCCCACTTATCATTGGGTTTGGATTAATAGAAACATCTTCAGTAATTACAAAAATGCTGCTGTCGTCCTGCCGGGTGCCATCAATTGTTTTAATGCGTACCAGGCCATTAATTCATTCGCGGAGAGCCCCACAGTAAAACACAGAAATCTGCTATTGATTTCACGAGGCCAGTATACTCAGCATTTTTTATCTCCATACTCTTCTCCAGCAGCCGGGTGAGGTTATTGATCTTCATAAGGGCAGTATTTTGTCGTTAAGCGAGAAGCAGAGAAGACACTAATGAAAGGTTTTAACCTGTGTGTTCAGTTCAGGGGGGTGGGGGGGTCGCTTCGCCAGTGATCAGCGCTGCCAGGTGCTGCACACAGCAGATTTTCAGCTGCGTGGCCTCAGGGATCGATAGGGATACATCTTTGTCTGATTACAGAGATGTGCAGGCGAAGGGAGCAATGTGAGCATGAGACTCGTATGTGGCTTTTACATGGTGGCAAAAAAAATATACACATCTATAAAGTAAAGGTGCAAATAATACCCACAGATTTCTAGAAGTTTACTTTGGTTATAAAATCTGAAAGCATTAAATGTATCTTTAAGATTGTAGAGGAAAAACGGGTAGAACTCTTCTTAGAACTAAAGAGCAATGTAATACACTGTTGGGAAGTTATCTGCAGACATTGCTTTATATTTTAGTTTAACTTTTGGGATCAGTTAAATCCCAAAAGTTAAAAGTTCTAGTGATTTATAGCTAAAAAAACTAATAAAATAAACCCAGCATTGTTCATTTTATGTTTCAGAAAGAAAATCTATATGCTTTTAGCAAATACGTTAGAGGAAATTCAAAACATTTATTTCCCCAAAATCAACCTTAACTTTATAGAACAAGTATTAATATAATTTTAAGTTTTGCTAGACTAACACCAAAAATCTCAGTGAATTCATTGGGGATGACAAGTGATGTATAATGTAATGACACAGTTCTCAAAATGCTCGCAATTGTCTTCTCATCAGCTCTAGTCAGTTTATCTTTTATAATGGTTCTGCCAGGTATCGCCAGGGGGATGGAGAGTCTTCACGTTAGCTTTTTCCCCGAAGGCCCCAAAAGTTTTACTGCTTTCTCACATAAATGAGATGTTCGTTTTCCTTCTGTCTGGCCTGTGGCAAAATGCAAACAGAACAGAAATATATTTCTTCATGTTTGTTTGGGACATTTGCAAACCACACGTATAACAGTTTTTTTTTTCAAATAGTTTTTAAAAACTTAAATCATCTGTCTTCAGATTTACAACAAAGCTCTACTCTCCTGTTTGTCTGTAAAGGTTATAACATTACATTTTCCAGTTTGTAATATTATAACTTTGAACCTTGAATTAACTTAATAAATATAATTTAATTCTGCTGATTTCAATGATTTCTAAAAAAAGTAAAGAAAAAAAACAAAGTGAACCAAACAGTTGTGGCTAGACAGCTCTTATTTTACCGCCCCATAATTAATCATATTATTTTATAAGACCTCACAAGCCATACATGAAATGAAGATATTTTTTTGCTAAGTACATCACTGAAGCAATTTAAATATGTCGAGATCATCATCAAAAAACGTAACAAACACAATATTTGATTTTTATTTTTGTTTTATCATTTCAGCAACAAAGAGATCTACTAACCCTGAAAACTTAAATCTGTTTACCTTATTCAGTTTTTATAATGGTTTTTATTGCCATGCTTTGCACAATCAGTTGCTCCATTCTGTTGCAGATTAACTGTTAGCTTTGCTTAATAGCCCTGCCCTTTTCCCTAAATTGATACTCATTGAAGCAGTTATGAGCAGTCAGTATCTTATGTGAGCAATTCTCTGAGTACAGACTTAGAGAAAGAAGCTGTCCGAAGAGTGACAGAGGAAAAGCAGAGTTCTACCAATATTGTTTACATGTTGTTAAACTGCTATTGCATATGTAGTACATGGGAATTTAATATAATGCAGTTAAAATCATATTAGAAAATATAAAACAAGTTTGCTGTCAGATACTTGCCTTTATCAGGTTTTATAAAATAAAAAAACCTTCTTTATTGCAGTTCATGTAACTTGGAAGGTCATAAGGAACAGTGGATCAACGACTCCTTTAGCCGTGGAAAGAGATCAAATTCAGTTTTACTCCTAGAAATCAAGGTTTCCTTCGCCAACACAATAAATTTTAGATGTATTTTAATTAAGAAGATGCTTTACAGTTAGTGGAACATAAGAAACACTATCCTTAGTAACATTTAATTTATCAGATTTCTCTTAATGTGCAATGTGATAAATGACAAAAAAATGCTCTATTATTATGCTAACATTCTTAGAATTTGTTTAAATAAACGCAGCCGAGGATATTGCTCTGTATAATCTACATGAATTAACCACAGTGATCTCGCTCCTCCTCCTACACCTATAAAGTTGTGACAAGGTGTCCCCTGATGAACCCATGCTCCTTACATTTCTAACATCTATAATGTCTACCAAGTGGGTTTTTTAGAGGCTGCCGACGGTTTCCAAGTGCACATAACTGTCATCTATGAGTTATTACACATCTGTCTGTGTATTTCAGAGTGCACCAGATGCTACAGTTAATGGCACACGTAACCTCACACCGTGAGACGGTACACTAAGAACCCACAGTGAAACTTTTTCCCTGCTATCCAGCCGTCCCCCCATCCAGCGTCTCCTCCGGACTCCGCTGCTGTCTAGTGCTTAGGGAAACCTGCAGGGGACGGTTCAGACAGGATATTAATGGGGCCCTCCAACAGTCAGAGGGCCTGACAGAACCCTGTTTCATTGTCACCTTGCCTTGGAGGACGAGGAAAAACTTGCAAAGCTTATTAGCCGAATGGAGCTGTTTCTCCCACTAACTTACTCAATCTCTGCCTCGCTGCTTCATTACACCATCTTACATCAGAGTCTAGCTGCTCTCCCTGTTTCCTCACCATGTCGCCGCACTCACTTCCACACAGACAGCCACTCACACACACACACAGGGTGACATCTCCCACCTAATCAAGTAGTGGATTATCTTGTCCTGATAAATTGGAGCTTGTAACACTTGAAAGGTCCTCTTGGAGGAGTGCCGTCTCCTCCTAACAGCTAGTTCGAGCCCCCAGGGAGCAAGAGGAGAGAACATTGCCTTGTAATGATTTGTGGTGAATTGGACAAATGTTTTCAGAAAGACCTCTTTCCAGCAAAGTGCTTGATGAATTAAAACCCAGGGAGAAACTCTCCAAACCACGGGTCTAATTCTGGCTTGAGTGACAAACAGCACACAGATCCACTTCACACAATTAGGTTGATGGGAAAGATTTTAATTCCTTTAAGAGCACCAATCAAGTCAAGGTCTGCAGGTACAGTGTCTTCATCACACTTGAACTTTTTCTGACTTCATCACATTAAAGAAACACATCTTAGTGTTTCATATTGGTATCTGTTTAACATGTAAGTGTTAGAAAAGAAAATATGAGTTTCAACATATTATGGCAATGCAAATCTCAAATGAAAACAAAGTCCATTGAAACTGATTGTCTTCAGATGTCACCTAGTGGATGCTGATGTTGTGTGAAGGCCTCAGAGGCTTGATAGAAACCATTGGGGAGCAAACAAGGACACAGAAGACAGGTTACAGGCTAAAGTTCCTGCAGAGTTTAAAGCAGGATTACCTTTTAAGAAATATATCAAGCTTAAAAATCTGACTGCAAACCTATCAATCATCTGAAAACAGACAGAGAGTAAGACACACCTGCAAGCCTACACCAAGCCTACACCTACACTATCAGCTCTGTAAAAGAGGAGCAATAATCATAATTTTAAAAAGAAGCTAAATCAGCATAGAAGTAGGTACCCTGTTGAGAGCAAACCAAAGCTCAACTTTTTGCCAGTATGTTAGGCGGAGTCTATATATATTTGTAGAAAGTGATTAAGAAGCAATTTAAATGGTCCTTGTTTTAAATGTAGTGGTAGTCTCATTTTCAGGTTAACATTATGGATGTATTTCTGCTTTTTTCACACCTTCTTTCTATTTTCTCTTCTTTGCAGGAGAATCCTTACATGTGTAATAATGAATGTGATGCCAGCACTGAGGAACTTGCGCACCCTCCACAGCTGATGTTTGACATAGAGGGCCGTAACCCCACAACCTTCTGGCAGTCAACCACTTGGAAGAAATACCCCAAAGCCCTTTTGGTCAACATCACTTTATCTTGGAACAAAACCATTGAGCTGACTGATGACATCGTCATCACGTTTGAGTCAGGCCGACCTGAGCAGATGGTCCTGGAAAAATCTCTAGATTATGGGCGAACCTGGCAACCCTACCAGTTTTATGCCACAGATTGCCTGGATGCCTTCACCATGGAGCCCAAGACAGCACAGGACCTGTCCCAGCATACCTTGCTGGACATCATCTGCACAGAGGATTACTCACGAGGGTATGTGTGGAAGTATGACAAAACTGTTCGCTTTGAGATCAAGGACAGGTTTGCACTGTTTGCTGGGCCCAGGCTGCACAACATGGCCTCGCTTTATGGGCAGTTGGACACAACCAAGAACCTGAGGGACTTCTTTACCATCACCGATCTGAGAATTCGGCTCCTGCGGCCTGCCACTGGGGCTACAGTGGTAGATGAGAACAGCCTATCGAGATACTTCTATGCCATCTCTGACATCAAAGTTCAGGGCAGGTAAGATACTCCGATATAATGCCATGAAAAACTATTAACCCCTTACAGACATTGTCTGGTTTGGTTTTCTGACCATGCTTAGAGCTTTCAAATCATTTATATGGTACAAAATTAATATGAGGAGATTATCGATGAAGCCTAAAAGCGAGTGTGACACAATATAGGTAGGTAACTCATTGCCACGTACTCTCCACAACTGACATCCTCTTAAGGATACCTGATAGCCTCTTCCCTATTGTTAAACTACAGCATAAATCAGCTGAGGCAGGTAAGGTCTATTTCATGCTTTTCAGCTTACAAGTTGGATCAGCATGCAGATTTAAACTGGGTTTGAGTATCATAAAGGTTTTTTATATAAAAACAGAAAAACATGGAGGTTTTAAACATGTTAATCAGTACATGGAGCACAGATGGACTAGCGGGGAGTGTAAGTGAGGAATCCAGCAAGAACCCCCCAAAAAATCTTAAGCTTATATACTAAAAGAAGAATGGAAATTAATACTGAACATACAGTTAGGAGAAAAGGACCCAAAATCATGCTCAAGTCAGAGTAGAATTACTTCAACATCTTTAAAAAATAAACTAATAAAAGTAAAAAGGTACCATTTAAGAAATTATTCAAGCAACAGAAAAGAAAACTTGATAAAAATGCTACTTAAGGCGGGCATACACTCCGATTTTTTAACCTTTTCGGGGCGATTGTCTAGTAGTGCGAGAATTATTTGAATCCTGCCAACTTTCCGCCTCTTCACAGTGCCTCCTGTGTTGTGTAGTATACAGGGTACTGTTACAGGTACGTTGTGTCATACAGGTTCTGTTAAAGTGATTGCCTACAGGTCTGATATCAGCTTTTTTGTGGCTAGTTAAAGTAAACCAAAAAAATTATAAATCCCAGTTTAATTGGAAACGATAACTTTTTCTAGATCGGGACATTTTTCTATGGATGGTTCTTTTTTCCTAATAAATGAAACTGGCATTTCCCCTATGCGTTTATGCATATTTAGGTTATCCATCCATCCATCCATCCATCCATCCATCCATCCATCCATCCATCCATCCATCCATCCATCCATCCATCCATCCATCCATCCATCCATCCATCCATCTAAACAATGCAGTCTGCTTTGGATATCATTATCAGCTGTTTGATGAGCTGAAAAATGTAGATGAGGTGACAAAAAAGCAAATGGGTCAAACACTTTATGGCAGGGTGGTTGCTTTTGCTTGTTTTGTTTTTTTTTAATGGTGAGCCGGGTGGTAATTGTTGACTTATACATGAGTAGTTTGGGACATTTTTCTCTCACTGTTGACTTGTTGCCAAGTAATGAGGGGAAAAAGTGCCCACTGTTAACTATTCTTTTCAATTAGACAGTGGGTCCTTTATTTTCTGCAGCATTCACAGGATCTCTGCATGCCTTAATCAAGCAAACTGCTTACGGTTTGCTGGAGCCCTCCACTGTGGACAACAAATCCACTCAGCTGCCTGCTAAGCTTGTGGAAGAGATCTGATGTAGCGTATTCAACCATCAGGTAACTGCACGGCGTATTTAGTGCTTGATTTGATGATTCCAAAGACGGTCATGTGACATGAAAACAAGATACCACTGTGCCGTTCACAGGAAGACCGACGACAGCCTCCCAGGTTACTTGGCGCTACCACTGGAGTCTGAGCTTAAGTGGATCTGTTTAACACAGTGTGGCTTTTCAGTTCAACAGATGTGGCTGTGAGGCTGAAGGGATGAAGATTTAATTACCCTTGCTTTACTCTTCACACATGAGAGACTCACAGCGTGACTACGTGATGTGTGACGGACCGTCACAACAATTGTAGGAAACGGTTGAAAGTGTTGGAATCAGGCTTCCAGTCGGGGAGATGTCGCAGTCGCGGTGTCTCAACTTAAGAAAAACATTAGGAAAGGTGGTGGTGGTATGGGGATGACACCAAGTAAAAAGGTCTTGTTTAGATATAAAAAGAAAAAGCTGACTTACATTTATCTTGCAAAGTTTTTCCATCTTCACCACCTTCTTGTTTTTTTTTTTATTGGAATTAATGCAGTAGAAAAATCAAATACAAAGTATCAGAGAACTCACAAATTAAAGAAATTTTCCTTTTTTGTGTGTGCAAATAACCTTAAAATAAATTTTTATTCAGCTAGTCATAACCAAGAACCAACAGGGGTTGTCAGATGAATTGAGTTTTGGACTTTAAATAGGCAATCCTAGTACTGTACATGGATATGCCTAGTTCCAAACTTATTTCTTTTTACTCTAGGTATATGTTAAGGGTTGTTGTCTTTCTGGAGATCTTTAACAATCTCCAACAGCCATATCAGGCACTCAGGTTAGCAAGTTGCTTATTGTCTGTTCCACCACCATTTTTCATGATCTATTTCTCCTTCTACCTGAGTTTGAAGTCAGTTTAGGATGACCAACATACTTAATCAGCATGATCTCTGACCTGTGTTTTGCTGTTTGTTTGCGGTGGGGTTGTCTTCATCATGCTTAGTTTGTTCATTTTAAATCTCAATCAAGCACATCAAAATCGTCCAAATACTAATGCATGCTACATTATTCATAAAATATATTTCTAACAATCCTCTGAAAAACATCTTTAATGTTCCTTCTTTTACACCATTATTCCATATGTTGTTGATCCTTAACAGTAAATCAAAATTGATTAATATAAAGCATGTAGTTAAAATATGACAAAGTGTGAAGCAAATCAAGGTACGATACTTGAGTGAAAAACTGAACAGAACTGTTAAGTATAAGAGTTAATCTCATTGTGCTTAATGAACAATTTAATTGCAATAATGTCTCTACTAATGGGACCTTATTTACAGTGATTTTTTTAATGCCTTAAAGGTTTTAATCAACCTCTAATTTGTCAATTTCCATAATATGTCATTATTTCAAGCACAACCACACCTCTCTTCAATTCAAAGTAAATAGGGAGGTACCCCTGAGCACTAAAAGGCTTTGATAATGAATGCCTTGCTCCAAAATTGTATTTTTGACTGTTTCTGTGATTGAGAAGGTCATTCAACAAAAATAACTGGAGGGAATTTACTAATAAAAGAATTGAATGAGGCTGTTGCAAGCACAGATTATTTATTCTTTCTGACTAATCATGACCAAACTCATACATCCCTGCAGGGTTTGGGTTTGAGCGATGATTTCCTGACTGGTGTTGGGCGCCTGCAGTCGTTTACCCACCCATTGCTTTTAGAATAAGGCTGGCCTGAGAAATGTTTGGTATTGTTTACTAAAGGTAACTCACAATTCTTCAATAAGGAGACACATTTAGCAAAGAAAGGCTTCATTCTCTTTTCTCCAACCCCTCTCAAGGCTAATCGCAACCCGACAACTTTCTCTGCACCTCAAGAATCAGGCATAAGCTTCTTAACCTCAGAAAAAAAGTTCTCCACAAGAGATTTCACAGGACCGCTAAGGTTGGATCTGGCATATATCCATGTGTGGACTGAGCCTGCATCCACCTGGATCAGTAGTGAGAGTGGGTGTGGAGCAAAATAGTGTTTGAAGAGCTTGCAGATTTTCTGCCTTTTCTGCAACATCCTGTGAAACAAAGCTTTTCTTTTTCTGCCAATGTGGGTCACCTTGGAACAGAAAGACAAATCTACAATTTTTACAATAATTACTTCTATAGAAATCTACTTCATAACGTATCCATCGCTGTAAAATTGGATATTGACAATTTACCCCCTTAGGTTTGTTCAGGTTTTCCTTCTTTAAACAAACGTAAGAGTTTGGCATCATCTAACAACTTCAAATTTCAGACCCACATGTAAATAAGTGGAAAATTTGTTTTTAGATAATAATTTTATTAACTTGGCTTTATGTGAAAAAGAAAAACAACACAAAAAAAATGCCTTCCCTTATTAAATCCTGAATTAACTGTATTTAACCATATATTTAGGTAATTATTAATGCCTTAGCTTTAGAATCAAGCCCATCCTTTAAAAAGAGCATTTTTGACAATTTAACAAACAAGAATGCTAAAAAGAAACACATAAGGTTCTGATCTAAGAGAAGAAATTAAATAAGAATCAAGCAAGCTTAAAAAAACTATTTCTACAGTACAATTTTGGGACTCCAATGAACCATAGTAAGAACCATTATCCACAAATGGAGAAAATATGAAGCAGTGGTGAACCGTCCCAGGATTGGCAGATCTACAAAAACTACTGAAAGCACTCAGAGTACTCAGTCTGTGTTCTAATTTCGACATAAAGAAAGACAGTAGCGATAATGGTATTAGTGGAAAAGTTTTAAGGCAATCCATACACAACTATTAAGCCAGAAGAACACAATAGCCTGTGTCACCTTTGCAGTAACATCTTGATAGCTGTGAAAACATTTAGGGAAAAATAGGCAGAAGAGACATAAGTGAAACTTTATTTAAGTTATCTGTTCTGCTGCATCTGGAGTAAAAGACATTGTTAAAAAACATTAAGGATTCAAACATAGTGATGCTAGTGGGACGGTCTAGGGTTAATTTGATGCTTTAAAATCTTTATGAGACAAATTAATTCTGCTCTCTGCAAGAAAAGCCTGGGGGACAATGTCCAACAATCCATTTGTGACTTCAACTTGCGGAATGCTTAGATTTTGGTGCAAGAAGTAATCCAAAACACACCACCTCCACCTCTGAGTGGTTCCAGAAAAACTAAAGGTATGCAGCCAAGTAAATGCCAGATTTGATTCAGTTGAAAGCTTTAATCAGGTTGTTCATGCTTAAAAAACTTCACACCTGGACTAAGTTAAAACATTTCTTGGGGCAAAAAATTCTTTCACAGTGAAAATCATTGATAGCAGTTTTGGGCTTCAGGTGTCAGACAACCGGTTTTTAATTAAAGGGCAGCTATGTTAAATTATGGTCCAAGTAGAAAGATTTTATTTATCCAGTTTGTTTTTATATGAAATTAAAAACTTTTATATTATAACATTACAGCGTGACAAAAAAGCTAAACTTGTGCTGA